CATCTTCAAATAAGTTTCCTTCGATTGTTTGTAAACTGCCGATGCAGTCCGGCCAAAGTCCCCCGAAAAGTGTTGTGATGCGCATTTGATCATCTCCACATGTTAATTTGCGCATGCAATATAAATATTAAGTTATTATTTTTATTATAATTATTAACTGTAAATCGTGCCGCGGAGAAAGAGGAGGAATGCCCGATGACTGATGTTCTGAGGCGAGGAAGATGGGATGAGGAAGATTAAAAAAATAAAAAAGGAATCATCTTCTAAGTTATAGAGATATAGTTGGGACAATTATGAAATAATTATTCCTCCATGTGAATTGGGTTCTCTTCTTCAGGCAAATTAATGAGCTATAAGAACTCTGATCTTTAATATATTTCGTTTCTTTCTATGTCCTTTTTAAAGTTAAGGGAATGTTTTGAAGGTTGATATATAATCATTTTTACTTAAACTTATGATCCTTTATATTTTCAATTTCGCTTCATGATGTGTTAGAACACTGAGTCGTTTTTTGATGTTCAATATGGCGGATACAACACGGCGGATGGATATCAGATGCAAGATGGCATAAAGATATTAGTGACGATATGTTGTCTTTGAAGCGATGGCATCTAACTTAACTATTGGCTGTAAATTTGTTGTTATTTTGTACTTCCATTTGGTGAAAATTTTGCGAGATACCAGAAATAAAACAAAAATATTCCAGAGTTTTATGTTTACACCTGAGTATATTTTAGCATTGCCATGGAAAAAAATCCGTTGAAACAAATGATTTGAAGTCAGAAGTTTAAAAAATCTGGAAGAAATCTCTATCGTTTTCATACTTAAAGTACCTTTAAAGAACGGTTAACACACTTGCAAACAATAGTGTTGAGCATGTATTGCTTGTTTTCTGCCAATTATGAAGAAAGGAGTCACGTCGCTAGAGCACGTGATACTACCTGTTCAGCTAGTCATTAGGCACTGCTATTATACATAATATTAAACTCCAACCACACTTTCCTCTCGAAAAAAGGTGGGTGTATGAGTTTGCACGTACGGCCAAGGGTTAATGTTATTCAATTACATCGCGCAGAATGCCGCGACACATTCGGGTACTTTTGTAAGTCCACCGGCGGCGAATTTTTAACGTTCGTCCGAAAAAAGAGGGGAAAAATGAGGAAAATGGCCATAAATCTTCTACTTGTACCTACGTTTTTCTGTTTGATCATAAGCTAGTTGCCGTAACCATTTGCCAGCCCACGGATTTTGTGTAGGAGGTTCAATAAACACATTTATACTGTGTGCAGAGTGTTGTCGCCAATTGTTATTAACTACACTATATTCAAGTTGTTGCGTAAATGTATTATAATTTTTTCTGTTCTAGTTAAGGGAATATTAACAGTTGACATTCTCTTGGTTCTAGTTGAATGGTACAGCCTTTGAAAGAAAGTGGCTCTAACCCTGGGATGGGAAATTGAGGTTCAATTGAATTTCATAATTGCAAAACTATGAAACTTGTGCACTTCAAATACCAGGGGAAAAGAGCATACTCAAAAAGACGAGAAATAACGTTATTAAAGACACTTTTGATCTCGGAAGATTGGATGTTACTAAAACCAGGAACTAAAATAAGGAACAAGGAAAGGGAAAAATCTGAGACCGAAAGTACAGCGGTAATCCGCATAGCGATTCAAAATAACGGATGAAAACACGGAAAAAAGGTTTGAGCACCAGATTGAGTAAGCGCTCTTCGAATTCAGTAGTCATAGCAATCATCATAGACGATAAGTAGAGATATTTTTGAAGGGTTCTTTCCTTATCCTTTACTTAGAAAAAATTGATGGTGCAAAGGAGATCGAGTCTTCGAAGAGGTCGGTGTCAAGCAAGTTACTGTAAAAACAAGTTTAGTAACATTCTTCAGATAACGTTGCTCTAGAAAGGTCCAGGTAGGGCTAACTGTGTGCCACGAAAACGGCCCACAATGGGCCAAAGGAATTTCAACCAGGGCCTGCGAACGCATTTATCAGTAATCTGGTCAGGATATTCCTCGGAGAAATAGTACTCCCAGTCACCATTTCCAGCCTTAATGACAAACTCGCTCCCCCACTGGACGAAGCGAAATAGAGCGTTTGTAAGATCTGCTCCATCTTCCATTGCTGTTGGCAGGAAATGAATTGCAGCTTTTAAGAACTTTATGGTAGTTTGATCGTGGCCATCGAGATACATTTTATTTTCCACTCTCCTGACCTCAGCTCCAAGAACAGGAGATGTGATTTGGCACACATTTTTTCTGTAATTTCTTAAAAAATGCTGAAATCAGACAAGGAGTAAAGTAAACATAGGCGCTAATCCAAATAATATATCGAATGGGTGCAAAGCTTCCGTCAGAAAATGCATATTTTTTCACTGAAAACTCATCCTGAGTCAAGCCTAATTTTAAGATAGCAACAGGCAAAGAACAACAAAAATACAGACAAGTATGGACCCACGCTATGAAGAAATTCAGTCTGTGAGCTTCACTTTATCAAGCGCGTAGAGGACGTGGAATCAGGAAGCTTGAGCGTTTGCCCGCGTTCGAATGTTTATATCTTGCTTTAAGTTGACTTCTTTCACTATATTGCTGCACTGATCTTCGATTCTATCCAAGGCGTAGTTGCCTTAGATTAAGTGCAACATGAGACCGTTAATTACATTCATGCAAGGTCAACGAACTCAAGCAAGTTTGGAATTTGAATAATCAATTACTTCCTTTCGGCCCGTACTTCTCCGATCACCGTCCATCCCTCAAAAACCTTTTTATTCAATGCAAGTTCCCCATGAATTGAATCAGAAGGAGGCGCAACGCAACTTTAAAAGAGGACCTTGATCGGCAGATTCGAGGTGCCCCTTTATAACAAGCGTGACTAGCTTAACACCTCTCCTGATCTAAACCAGTTCATATTCTCTTGCCCAAACTATATGTAATCGGCCAAAAGTAAAATTAGTACATTTTAAATAATTCTGCTTGCCTTAATTTGACATGTTTGGCAACTTTCGCCTAAGAAATTCAGTACTTACAGGAGCCATTCTTCTATTTCCTAATACGTTACCCATGATTCTTCAGCCGAGCTTAAAGAGGAGAACTTGTTTAACGGTTGTTGCGACGAAATGTGCGGTTATATTCCCTTTCTCCCTTTCAGTGGCGCATAACAGAATAACCCTCTACAGTTCCACCGCATATAGAGAGGATGTTATACTGAGCGAAAGCCCAAGCTGTCTCTTCCCTTTATTTTGCTTTCGAATTCCAGGGTTTTTTCCCTTGCATTAATTCGATTAAATCTTTAGTTATTTCTTAATTGCAGCCAATGAAATATTTTGTTTAAGGCTTTCCCATGCTTTCAATTTGCAAGGGGTTTTTCCCGAGCATCGCTCCGACGTGATTTGAATTATCTGGCGTCCAAATTCCGAGACAGCGTCCACTAATATGAGCAACCTTTGCACACACTTCTTGCGTTAATTCCAGTGGGGTTTTTCCATTGCACAGTTTCGATTAAATTTTTTTACATTTTTCCAGCCGATGAAAACATTTTGTTTCCATGACTAATTATCCATCCTCAACCGGCAGCTGGGACATCTGTTTTATCAAGGATTATATTGTATGCATTTAGCTAAAGGGAAAAACCCCTCCGATTAACATGAAAGTGAAAATGAAAAGCGAATCCTCCCTCGCGCAGCTATATCAACTTGCGTCGGACAGAAGTGGGTTTTTATCTCGAGAACGTTCTCTCCTTGTTCAGTCCAAACAATCTCACAAACCATGGGAAATAATAAGTCGAGAATGACATCGGTAAGGAAATTTTTACTTTTCAAAATAGTATGTCTTTGCATGAAATGTGGGTCATTCTTTGCAAATTTCATGATTGATTACAAGCAGGCGATTACAACAGCTTTCGCTTGGTTCACGGGGCTTTGGACAGAGGTCACAAAAATTCATATGCGCCGTATTTTGTGTACGTTCGAGGAATTCTCAACCTAGGATTGAAAATTCCTCAGGCACCTATTTATTTGACCATTACAATTTAGATACGTATGATGCACGATCCTCGCAGTAGATAGCGCTATTTAAGCAATAGCGAAAATCAGACCTGAAAAAAATCAGGCCTGTACGGGATTCGAACCACTGACCTCTGAGATACTAGTGCAGCGCTCTACTAATTGAGCTAACAAGCCAACTGGGAGCAGGCCGTTAAGTTGATTCGTAATAAACCCGTGAAAGTGATAAATCAGATACAATGAAATATATGAAGTTCATATATTTTGAACTGCGGTATTAGATACGTATGATGCACGATCCTCGCAGTAGATAGCGCTATTTAAGCAATAGCGAAAATCAGACCTGAAAAAAATCAGGCCTGTACGGGATTCGAACCACTGACCTCTGCGATACTAGTGCAGCGCTCTACCAATTGAGCTAACAAGCCAACTGGGAGCAGGCCGTTAAGTTGATTCGTAATAAACCCGTGAAAGTGATAAATCAGATACAATGAAATATATGAAGTTCATATATTTTGAACTGCGGTATTAGATACGTATGATGCACGATCCTCGCAGTAGATAGCGCTATTTAAGCAATAGCGAAAATCAGACCTGAAAAAAATCAGGCCTGTACGGGATTCGAACCACTGACCTCTGCGATACTAGTGCAGCGCTCTACCAATTGAGCTAACAAGCCAACTGGGAGCAGGCCGTTAAGTTGATTCGTAATAAACCCGTGAAAGTGATAAATCAGATACAATGAAATATATGAAGTTCATATATTTTGAACTGCGGTATTAGATACGTATGATGCACGATCCTCGCAGTAGATAGCGCTATTTAAGCAATAGCGAAAATCAGACCTGAAAAAAATCAGGCCTGTACGGGATTCGAACCACTGACCTCTGCGATACTAGTGCAGCGCTCTACCAATTGAGCTAACAAGCCAACTGGGAGCAGGCCGTTAAGTTGATTCGTAATAAACCCGTGAAAGTGATAAATCAGATACAATGAAATATATGAAGTTCATATATTTTGAACTGCGGTATTAGATACGTATGATGCACGATCCTCGCAGTAGATAGCGCTATTTAAGCAATAGCGAAAATCAGACCTGAAAAAAATCAGGCCTGTACGGGATTCGAACCACTGACCTCTGCGATACTAGTGCAGCGCTCTACCAATTGAGCTAACAAGCCAACTGGGAGCAGGCCGTTAAGTTGATTCGTAATAAACCCGTGAAAGTGATAAATCAGATACAATGAAATATATGAAGTTCATATATTTTGAACTGCGGTATTAGATACGTATGATGCACGATCCTCGCAGTAGATAGCGCTATTTAAGCAATAGCGAAAATCAGACCTGAAAAAAATCAGGCCTGTACGGGATTCGAACCACTGACCTCTGCGATACTAGTGCAGCGCTCTACCAATTGAGCTAACAAGCCAACTGGGAGCAGGCCGTTAAGTTGATTCGTAATAAACCCGTGAAAGTGATAAATCAGATACAATGAAATATATGAAGTTCATATATTTTGAACTGCGGTATTAGATACGTATGATGCACGATCCTCGCAGTAGATAGCGCTATTTAAGCAATAGCGAAAATCAGACCTGAAAAAAATCAGGCCTGTACGGGATTCGAACCACTGACCTCTGCGATACTAGTGCAGCGCTCTACCAATTGAGCTAACAAGCCAACTGGGAGCAGGCCATCAAATTAATTCGATATAAACCCGTAGATGATAAATCAAACAACAACAAACATATGAAACATATGTGTGAACTGCGGTTATGAGACGTATATGAGAACGATTCTTCGCAGTAAAGCACTATTTGAGCAATAGTGAAAATCAGACCTGAAAAAAATTTCAGGCCTGTACGGGATTCGAACCACTGACCTCTGCGATACTAGTGCAGCGCTCTACCAATTGAGCTAACAAGCCAACTGGGAGCAGGCCATCAAATTAATTCGATATAAACCCGTAGATGATAAATCAAACAACAACAAACATATGAAACATATGTGTGAACTGCGGTTATGAGACGTATATGAGAACGATTCTTCGCAGTAAAGCACTATTTGAGCAATAGTGAAAATCAGACCTGAAAAAAATTTCAGGCCTGTACGGGATTCGAACCACTGACCTCTGCGATACTAGTGCAGCGCTCTACCAATTGAGCNAAGGGAAAGGTTAGGCCGCCTAATTCTTAAATATTGACCGTTAGAGTGATGATATTGATGATAGCGATATAATGCTTCCTATTGGACCACATACAATGACATTCCATCCACTTTGCTGTTAAAGGATTACCCAAGGGACATGATTTTCTACGTTAAGAGGATTTCATCGACATTCCTTGGAAGAGAGATTACCAAACGATGTGGAAACGAAGGGCAGCACAACAACCTCGCGGAGAAAGACAAGACCACATTGAAATTTCTGCAAGCTGCCATCTCGTACATCTCAGAGGCGACCGACATGGGAGCAGATCTTTCAAATGCAGCTTTCATTTTTTCACAGCCAGGAAGAGAGTTCGTTATTCAGGCTGGAAATGGCGACTGGGAGTTCTTTTTTTCAGAGGATCTTAATAATACAATTCATGGCCACTGTGTTCGTAAGGGTCCGAAGCAGGCTTCCCGAGGTTTATGGAGTAGCTACAGTTCCACTGAGAGAACATCTGGCCCTGCCAATCGAAACAATACACCCAGAAAAGCACCAGGTCGAATAAATGGTTTGTTGGCCCTGCCATCTGCTGCCTAGAAAAATGTTTTACACCTCTACAGAGTAAAAGATGAAATTCAAGAAATGCGCATATCATTACCAGCTTGATATTACAAGTGACAAATGATTCCATAATTTATCAGGCAATTGATTTAATTTATCCTGCCGTGAGACAGTCTCCAATTTTAGTTACTCGAAGGATCGAGCATCGGATGTGTATGGCCGATGTTAAGAGCATTAATTTGGTAATACGGAAAACTTACCTTGACTCTCAGGAAATGATTGACGCCGGCATGATCTGAAAACTTGTCTCGACCACGTCAGCTAAAGCTACCGAGGATTCAACCTGACAATAGGGCTGAATTTGAGCTTTTTAGGCCCGTGTTTATCAATCACAGTTTCGTAGACAACGAGAGTCATTTACTGACTGAAGAGAAGGCGTCCAATTGGAGAGTAACAAACTGCCTTGAAATTCAGATCATCAATAGATTCCCGGCAGTTTGACCTCCAAATCGGAGCTACGGACAGCTATACTTACCACTGATATTCTGAAATTGCCTATGAAATTTCCCTTGAAGTTGTCCAGCTGACCCGTAAAAAGATAGCTTGGCAAAATCCTTCCGAGAATTATTACATGCAGCTTTTGGTTAAGAAGCGTGCGTGATAGGAAAAGCCGTCTACAGCTCATAAGGTCAAGTTGGACAATCGTAACACGACTAAGACGGCTGAACCTTTTGTCCTTTTTGTGGTTAGTGGAGTTTTTCCCCTTTCAAATTACCTTCAATTTTTATTGACCAGGGAAAAATTTGTTTGATGAGTCATTGTGATGTGGCATCCCAAACATGCAAAGAAGACAAAAGATATGAAATCTGGCGATCAAAGATTTATATATCTCATTTACATTTTATCATATATCTTATGACATATGACATTTTATATATGATATATGATATCTTATATATATGATATATGATATATGATATTTTATATATGTTATATGATATCTTATATTTTATCATATATCTTATGTATATCTTATTTTATCTTTATTTTAGTTTTTAAGGGGTTTTCCACCCTATGTAAGGAACGCGTGACGTACATTCGTTTATGACGGGGTCCAACTTTGGGGATGATTGCTAGCACGCAACGAGCTACAAATAATGCGAACAATTTACTTTGCTTTATATTAAAAGCCGCGTAACCTTGTGCGGTGAGATTGGGAAAAGTCTTCCGCTGAATATTTAGTAAATCTGTTCCTTCCATGAGCGAGTTTGAATAGAGCCAGGCTATTAAATAACAAGTTAAGAATGACATTGGTTGGAAAATTTGTATCTTAGTTAGATTTATAGCTAACAGATCACTAGACGTACAATGGACCTCCATCAAAGGCCGTGTTTTTCAAGATGTTTGGGACTGCAAGTAGACACATTATTAAGAGAGAGTTTCGTAGTTAAAGCTGCTTGTCACTCCGTCGTTTCCTAAAATAGACTAGTATTAATTTTTTCAGTTCCTTTACACAGGAGATCACAAATTCATATTGCTATGTAAACAAGAAACATTGTTTGTCTCCCTTCCCTGCAAAGGTTTTCTCGTTGTTGTTTACATTTTAATTTTTTATTTTTTATAAGTACATTAAAATATAAGACTCCAAATTCAGGAGATTATTCCAAGTCTACCCTACGCCTTGTAGTGGCCTGAATACCAAATGTTTATATATTGATGTTGGAAGGAACAAACTCTTAGCTTGGTAAGAAACAAGGCGGGGAAATAACATTATGCTTTTATTTAAGTTGTTGATATATAACAGCAAACATATGAAACATATGTGTGAACTGCGGTTATGAGACGTATATGAGAACGATTCTTCGCAGTAAAGCACTATTTGAGCAATAGTGAAAATCAGACCTGAAAAAAAAAAAAAATTTCAGGCCTGTACGGGATTCGAACCACTGACCTCTGCGATACTAGTGCAGCGCTCTACCAATTGAGCTAACAAGCCAACTGGGAGCAGGCCATCAAATTAATTCGATATAAACCCGTAGATGATAAATCAAACAACAACAAACATATGAAACATATGTGTGAACTGCGGTTATGAGACGTATATGAGAACGATTCTTCGCAGTAAAGCACTATTTGAGCAATAGTGAAAATCAGACCTGAAAAAAAAAAAAAATTTCAGGCCTGTACGGGATTCGAACCACTGACCTCTGCGATACTAGTGCAGCGCTCTACCAATTGAGCTAACAAGCCAACTGGGAGCAGGCCATCAAATTAATTCGATATAAACCCGTAGATGATAAATCAAACAACAACAAACATATGAAACATATGTGTGAACTGCGGTTATGAGACGTATATGAGAACGATCCTTCGCAGTAAAGCACTATTTGAGCAATAGTGAAAATCAGACCTGAAAAAAA